GTACTACATCCAGCTCGGTTTATAATGAAAACTGAAGTGTTAACAGCTTCTGACAATAAGTTTTTGTTTAAATTTTTGCTATGCAGTAATGTTCTGGCAGCTTCTACTAATGTGCGCATTTCTCGCTCGGCCCTTCCATTTTGTTGGGGTGTATATGCACATGATGTTTCATGAATTATACCTCTATCATTCAATTCATTTTTAAGTTCATGATTAATGAATTCCAATCCATTATTGGTACGAAGCTTTTTAACTTTATTTCCCGTCTGTGTTTCCACCATATTCAAAAACTTTTTTATATTTGCTACCGCTTCTGACTTTTTCTTGAGAAAATAAACAAATCTAAAACCGGAAAAATCATCCTTCAACAGCAAAAAATACTTTGCTTCTCCCAACGAAGACACTTCCATTGGACCTTCCAAGTCACCATGTATAAGCTCGCCCACACTATTAGCTCTTGACTCACTATGTGGAAATGTCAGTCTGTTGTTTTCCTGCTAAACATTCTTGACAGAATGGATTATCTATATCTTTATACTTTATTTCACTTCTTTTTAACAAGTTTCTCACTTGATTAAAATGTATGTGTGCTAGTTTTCGATGCCAATCAGTTAAACTTTCTACTTGATTGCATTGTGACAAAATACCTTGTGTATATTTGAAGTTCATTTTGTATAGCCTCCCTTTTCTATTAGCAATAGCTCTTATTTTCCCATTTTCATCCAACAATTCACATTGATTTTTGTCTGAATGCATTACAAGGCCTCTAGGAAGAACAGTACTCAATGAAAACAAGTTAACATCTAATTCAGGTACAAGCAAAACTTCCAGCAAGTTTGTATCAATCCATTCTTTTCCATTAAATGCTTGCACGTTGACCATTCCTATTCCTTCTACATTTAACAAAATTCCATTTCCAACTTTTACTTTTCTCAGCTCTGTTGATTTTCGAATTTCAACAAACTTTTCTTTGCTATAACACATATGTTCTGTGGCACCGCTGTCTAGCCACCAATCATCATTCCTTCTAGTTTCTCCAGTTTTTTCTAGGATGTTTGTGTAATTTAACAAACTAGACATTCCCACCAATGCCTGTGTTGAATGAGCTTTTGGATTTTTTCCATCCCTTACTTGATTACCCTGTTCTTCGTTTCTTCTATATTTGTCTCGATATTTTTGACCATCTTTGTTAAACCAGCAATCTTTTATTAAATGACCTTCCTTCTTACAACAATGACAAACTCTTTTTTCTCTATGTGGACAGTCTTTCTTCCAATGTCCCATTTTGTTGCATTGAAAACATTTTATTTCCTTCACTCGATCCCCTGATGAGTAGTTTCGCGTTTTCTTTCTTCTTATAGCTAATGCTGCTCCTAAATTTTCTGATTTAGTTCTTTCTTCTTCTACTAAAAGCCTGGACATAAGCTCTGACAATGTCTGTTTATCTTCTGGTGTCGAATCCCAAGCTGAAATGAAATGCTATAAAGTCTCTGGTAAAGTCATGAGAATTTTTGTAATTGCCATTTTGTCACTTATTTCTTCATTTTGCTGCTTCAACTTTCCCTGTATTTCTTCTATATGTGAAACTAGTTCAGCTATGCCACCAACTCCATATTCAAGACTAAAAAATCTTTGTTGTAATAAATGCACACTCACCTGTGATTTATTTTCATAAATTGTAGCCAATTTTTGCCACATTTCTACAGATGTATCACATGCCAACACATGGTTAAGTGGTTTTTCTTCTAGCCTACTAACAATTACTTCTTGTGCCTTTGCATCATTCATTAACCAATCAGTCACCTTTTTATCTGTAGATTCTCCCAAAGGCTTCAATATGTCACCTTTCACTATGCCATAAAGGTTTTTAGACTTTAAATGTATCATTGTTTGAAATTTCCAAACAGTTCAGTTCTCTCCATTCAGTTTCAGGACCAGTGTGTGATTGTCTGACATTTTTCTGTGGCCTTTCTACCTTCTAATCTTCAATCTTCTATTTTGTGTCCCGTTTTTTTAACGTCTGTCAATTACCTGAATTAACTGACGGACAGTTCTTTTCAACCAGAAACTACCAGCAGCAGGTACTATTAATACAATCTGACAACTTGACCAGTTTTCTCTGTCAGTTTTAACCAGACACTACCAACAGCAGGTACTATTGACACAACCTGACAATTTGACAAATTTTCTCTAGGCTGGGTTATGTTTTTATCTATTTTTTCACTCCCGAAATCCTTTTTCTTCCTTCTTTATTGACCAGGCATATCTGGGCCCATAACCTGTTGTAATTAAGGACTTCCGCGCTGTTAATAAGGCACACACGACACTACTTTCAACGAAATATATTCTCAGTGAATTAACACGTCTGATAACTTTTTACAATTCTGACTGACTTACTTGACTGACAGTTTTGTCAACTAATAATAATTTTATTGATAGACTGTCCAACCAATAACAGGGACAAATTAAAAAAAGAAAGTACTATTAAAAAACATATCCCCGAACTCTTGGTAAAGTACAAAGAATATAGAAAGTCGCTCTCTAAACTGATAAAAAAAAACAAAATACGAATACTATCGAAAACTTGCCCAAGAAAATATTCGGGATCCGAAAAGAACATGGAAAGTCATAGCGGAAGCCACTAATGATTTTAAGACAAGAATAGAAATAAATAGTATCAACAATGAGAATAACATAGAGGTGACAAACAAAAACAAATAGCTAATGAATTTAATTGTTTCTTTAATAATATAGGTAAAAAATTAGCAGAAAAAATCCCGACAAATAATAAAAAACTAATAAACAAGAACAAAGAAGTAATTAATTCATTTTATCTTTCTCCGGTTTCCGAGGTAGAAGTTAGAAAACACATTCTAGGGCTAAAGGAGGGTGTTAAAGGGGGACAGGACAATATTAGTGCATTTATCTTTAAAAGGTACTTGGGTCATTTATTGAAGCCCCTATGTCACATCACTAATGTCGTTTTCTATGCTGGAATTTTCCCTGACAACAATAATAATCCCAATTTTCAAACAAGGAGACAATAAATCAACAAACAATTACAGGCCAATATCACTGACCAGTACAATCAGCAAAATAATTGAAAAATGTCTTAAACAAAAGTTGATTACATACCTAAATAAAAACATTTTGCTGAATAAAAATCAATTTGGATTCAGGGAAGGTTGCAGCACTGAGGATGCTCTCTGCAAGGTAACTGAGAAGATGGTAAGAAATCTTGACATAGGGAAAAAAGTAATAGGGATTTTCTTAGATTTGCAAAAGGCCTTTGACACGGTGGAATATACAATACTGCTTAAACTTTTGAGTAACATTGGAATCCGTGGTATAACAAATGATCTTATTAAATCTTACCTAACTGGAAGGAAAAATGATGTGGTTATTGCGGGTGAAAAAAGTAACAAATTGAAGTTAGAGTTTGGTGTACCGCAAGGTACAGTCCTATCAACATTACTTTTCAATATTTATATAGATGGAATCTTATCGGTCTTGGGGGAAGATGAAGTATTTTGCTTTGCAGATGATACTGGAATTATAATCTGCGGTGATAATTGGGAAATTACCAAACAAAGAGCAGAAATATCAATGCAAAAAATTAAGAACTGGTTAGACAATAATTTACTTTCACTTAATATAGAAAAAACAAAATTTGTTGCTTTTTCGCTGTCTACAAAGGGTCTACCAAGCTTTTCAAAACTTGTACTGCATAAAAATAGCTGTGATATTAATGTAATGTGTGACTTTGATAAATTTATTAAAAGAGAAACGTGTGTAAAATATCTGGGAATATTAGTTGATCAAAATCTGAATTGGAAAAACCACATTGAATATGTCACAAATAAAGTTAGAAAGCTCATTTTTAAATTTTACGAATTACGAAATATTTTTTCACTGAATACCTTGAATAGTGCAATTGTAGAGTCTGTGATAAACTACGGCATTGTTGTTTGGGGTGGAGCAGGCACTACATTCTTGGCAAAATTACAAATCGCCCAAAAATGGGTAATTAAACTAATGCTTTTCAAAAATAAACGATATCCCTCTGAATTAGTGTATAAAGAAAGCAACCTAATGACAATAGACCAATTATATATAAAGGCTATTGCTAGATTTATGATTAAAACAACATACTATAAGGAAAAAATAAAACATAGTCACACTACAAGAACCGCAATACAAAATGATATAATAATGCAAAACCTCACGCACACAGTAACCCAAATGCATGTTTACTGTATCGGACCTAAGATATTCAATTCTCTCCCGCAGGAAATTATATTCAAACCTTACAAATTAACTAAAAAAAATCTTAATAAGTGGATTATGGAAAGTGGCTTTAAAATAGAATATGTAGTGTAAATTCATTTTATTATGTGTACTAGATTCCTATAAATTATATTTGTGTTTGTTTATTGTTATGATAGTTTTACTCATGTTAAGTACCATATATGTATATGTGTAATTTTTCCTTTTCTATTTGAATATTCTTCTGTGATATCGAACATATTTATTAGGTATATAGCTATATTTATTCATAAATAAATCTAAAAAATAGAGTTTTGTATGCGCACACACAGTATTTTAAATACTAATGTGCGTTGTCTATTATTTAGCAGTAGTCAAGATATATTGTGTTGGCATTTTGCAAAATTTTTTATAGACTTTTATTTATTTATTATTATTTTGTGTATTATTATTTTGTAACTCTTTGCTTTGCTAAATAAATTATTATTATTAAAAAAAAAAAAGTACGCCACTGACTTTAATTTTTTTTTAAATTTATTTTTCTAAATTTATTTTTTTTTATGAACTTTTCTTAATCAGCGAAAAAGCGTGGCAAATTAATTGGCGCCCAACGTGGGGCTGCCGTTTCTTTGAAAGAAAATTTAATTCACTTTTCTTTTGGCTGTTTTGAGAATGACACACTAAAAAAGAGGAAGGGAAGCGTATATCAGTTTCTCAGTATCTTCGGCCATTTTGGCTGTACCCTATCAAACTATCGAAAATCAACCACCCTGTATATTATGATTTTAAATTACCTGTAAGTTGAACTGTACTAGCATCACTTTGTTGTTGTTCTTCAAACATCCTTTGCCTCCGTTCCTCGCGTTCTTTATCAGCTTGTAAAGATTGACGAATAAGTTGGGCAACTTCACTGTTTTCCGGATCGCGTTCTCTGCCTAATAATTCCCCATTTATACAACTCAAATACTTAAATTAATAAATTAATTGTTACCTATGCTAAATTTAACCAATCCTGAAGTATTCCTAAGAACACTAGCAGCATAAGCTTGTGTAACACCTACAAGACTTTTACCATCCACCTCGATAATCTGATCATTGACTTTGATGCGGCCATCTTTGGCAGCCGCCCCATTAGCTGTAATAGTTTTAACGAAAATCCCTAATTTTTCCAAGCCCGCGTCAGCTCCCACTCCCATGCCAATTATACTCAAGCCCAAACCCTCAGGCCCTTTAATAAGCTCCACATGAAACACTTCCATTTTTTCCACTCGCTTTTCCAATTCGTATTCTGCTGAAGCTGCCACTGGATCCACGTCCTCGTTTCTTCTGTCATAATCTGATATACTAAACGTTGAAAATACTCTAATAGGGTCAACCGAGAATACTACTTTGGTAGGCTTGGGAACGTAAATTGGATATTCCAAATCGTCGTCTTCTTCTTCTGGAGGCAAACCGGGGACTTCCATCCAAAAATGTCCGTCTTCGTAATAGTGAACTCCATGTTCCACTCCTACTATAGGAACAGGTTTGGCAACAAAGTCCGTGACATCTTCACTTATAGTTTCAAGATTGTTTGTTTCAGACATACTGGTAACTGAATCGATCAGGCCAGAATCTGAAGCCGAAACACTGGCATCAAATTTGGAATGATTCAAAAATTCTTCCTCGTCCTGAGTGGATGTGTCCAAGCTGGAAGTGGACTCGTAGTACTGAGATAAAGGTTCGATATCCATCTTTTTAACATTAAAAGACTCTGATTCTTCTTGCAAAGATGGCGGGCCCAAGCTGTCATTTAAGGAAACTGGACCTGATGAATCGTATACTGATGCAGTTATGGAGTTGGTGTATTTGTTGAGTTTTTGATGTAATAGGCGAGTGACTTCTTGGGCTTCTTCGTCCGAAAGTAGATCAGGCCTAGAAGATTTTTGATTAGCAGATAGCAAAGTAATAAACGAAACAAACTATTAGATTAAAAAACCCAAAAGCCTTTTGTAATAATTGATTAAGAAGTGAGTGTGAAAAAGACCCAAATCCAAGCTTTACTCAATTATTTGACTCACCTAATTTTTTTCTCCAGAATTCTGGGCAGTTTATGAAAAACAAAATTACTCATTAATAATTGCCCCCCCTAAAAAAAATTGACTTACTTTGCGCTAAGAAGATTTTCAGCTTCGTCCGGTGTCATTGAGTCCAATTTCTCTTCTGTGTCGCTAGCATCGGCAAATTCTACATCGTTGGAGTCCAAAATATTCGCTTCGGAACGTCTATTTTCAGGAGTGCTGGCCAGTTTTTCAGTCTGCAACACTTCCCTGCATATAATAAACGGTTCGGGCCTCGAATCGCTATTTTCGCGTTCCTTATTCAAAAAATACTCGCTGCTCGCTTCAAAACTTTCCAATTCTGATAATACGGAGTTTATTACCGGAGTTTGGTTCTGGTACATTATGTCAGATTTTTGTGCTGGAATCACTGTGACTTGTGAAGCATCTGAGTCTGTTGAAGTTACGGATTTTTGATGGTACATACTAGGAGATCTGTAAGGAACTGCGTAGCCAGCGTCCGAGTCTGTCGGCGACAAGGACTTGTCAAAGTCTAAAGTTTTGCGTTCAGGAACTGAATACTGTCTTTCTTCCGAAGGCATGTTTATAACATTCTTATTTTTATTAGGAACAGCGTATAAAGCTTCAATTTCAGCTTGCGTTAGTTTCACTGGGTTTTCCTCAATGACTTCGCCTTCAGAATACTCATTTACATCCTCGGGAGAGTTGTCCGCAAACTCGACCGGGATGTCTTCGTTGACAGGAAAATCGTAGAGGCTTTCCTCGTGAGGTTTTAGCCTGGCTTCGATTTTCGGCGACGGTTCATTGAAGCCGCCTTCGTCAGAAGTGGTGATAATCGAAGACGGTCTGCTACCCAAACCGGCAGGCGGAATGTTTAGGGAAATGCTAGACACTTTAGTTCGTCTTGGCACAGCTTGGAGGTCGTCAGTCTTAATCTCTTTGTTGTTGTCGTTGTCACCTAACAGAAGACAATTTGGTGTTAACAAATAAATCTCATCCACATAAAATAAGATGCCATAAATCGTAATTGTGTATGAGACGATATATGGCGAGGAGTGGTTACTGTGTACAAGTTGGTCGAAATCCCAGAAAATCTCATAAAATCTACTCAAAATTCCTAAAAATCTTAAACTCCCTAAAAATGTAACAGAACCACAAAATCTCTTGAAATTGCATAAAATCCTACAAAATCTAACAAAATTTCATTAAAACCAAAAAAATCTTACAAAATCTCATAAAATCATTAGCATTCCTAAAAAATATTTCCTTTGAAATTCCCAAAATTCCTTTAAAAGCCCCAAAAGTGTCTCAGAATTCCATAATTTAGTGGAATTTCGAGGAATTTCGGTAGAATTATGTTATTCTGAAAAAGGAAATACATGTAAAATTTTTGCGGAGTTTCCATAGAATTCACATTAAATTTCAGTTCCTCTCGAATTACATAAAATTTCCGATGGAATTACACGAATTCCTAAATGAATTGCATGGAGGAATTCTAAATAATTAAATGAAATTACACCGAAATTCCCAACGTGAAATTTCAGTTCTTACTGAATTTTAGTAAAATTCCAGACAATTGTCGAGGAATTTCCGGCTAAAAACATGGAATTTCGGTGATATTCCGAAAAATTCCCATGTAATGACATGAAATTTCAATATATTTCAGTAAATTTTCAAGAAATTATTTGAAGTTTCATAAATATTCTCAGAAATTCCTGGCTATTAGAAGAGAATTTCAGTGAAATTCCGAAAAATTCTGATGAAAATAAATGAAATTTTGAAAAATCCCTTGAAGCTTTCTTGGACTTCTTCGAGAAATCTTCGGCTATGAACGTGGAATTTCAAAATATTCTCATAAAATTTTAGTGAATTTCGAAGAATTTTTAAGAAATTACCTACATGAAATGAAATGTCAATGAAATTCCAAAGAATTTTATGAAAATTTTGTGGAATTCCAAGATATTTCAGTGGTGAAATTTTAAGGAATTTCAGTAAAGTTGAAAAAAAAAATGGAATTTTGAAATTGAAATTTTAGTGGAATTCCGAGGAATTTTATGAAATCCTATACTGTAATTCCGAAAAAAAATTGTCTAAGAATTCCATAAAATCTTCTGGTGAAATTTTGAAAAGTATTATGAAATCTTATAGTAAATTTTTTTAGGAATTTCCGTTTTTCCCTCGGTTTTTCCATTCAAATTTACCATTTGAATAGAATTTCGAGGCATTCCATAAAATCTTCTGGTAAAATTCTAAGCAATTTCTATGGAATTGACTAGAATTATCGCAGAATTCCCATGGAATAACTTGAAATTTTAGTGAAATTCCGAAGAATTTATTGAAATCTTATATTGTAATTCCGAAGAAAAAAAAATTCCAAGAATGCCATTGAATTTCATGGGAGTTTCTATAGAATTCACATTAAATTTTAATTCCTCTCAAATTACATGAAATTTCGAGAAATTATATGAAATTTCAGTGGAATTTTGATCGAATTACATAAAATCATGAATGAGTTGCATGGAAGAATTCTAAATAATTACATTGAATTACATCGAAATTCCCAACATGAAATTTTAGTTCACGTTAAATTACATAAAGAATTTTAAAAAAGTTTCAAAAAATTACATGATTTCCAAAGAATTCTCGTCGAATTATATGGAGCTCCGATGCAATTCCATGGAATTCCAAGGAATTGTCAGGGAAATACATGAAATTTAAGTGGAATTTTGAACAACTCTTGTCGTTTCATATGGAATTCCAGTAAAATTCCGAAAACTCCTAATGTAATTACATGAAGTTTTATTTTTATTCCAAGGAATTCCCAGTTAAAAACATGGAATTTTAGTGAAATTCCGAAAAATTCCCATCGAATAACTGGATTTTAAAATTACAGAAAATTTCACATGTGGAGTTTCGAAGAATTTCCGGCTAAAAACTTGGAATTTCGGTGAAATTTGGAAAAATTCCCATTATAGACATTTTCAATATATTTTGGAGGAATTTCGGTGAATTTTCAATAAATTACCTCAAGCTTCATTAATATTCCCAGAAATTTTTGACTATTGAAAGACAATCTCAGTAGAATTCCGAAAAATTCTTATGGAAATAAATTAAATTTTGAAAAAAAATTTGATGTTTCATTGGAATTTCGAAAAATTTGCGACTAATAACGTTGAATTTCAGTGAAATTTCAATCATAAAATTTTAGTGAAATTCCGAGGAATTTCTAAGAAATTACAGGAAATGTCAATGAAATGCCGAAAAATTTTATGAAAATCTCGTGGAATTCTAGGATATTTCAGTGGTGAAGTTTTAGGGAATTTCAGTAAAGTTTTAAGTTTTTTTAAAACTTTACTGAAATTTAAATTTTTTATAGAATTTGGGAGAATTTCAATGGGATTTCGAAAAAAAAAAATTATGAAATATTCGCAGAATTTCCATCAAATAATATATATTTCACTTTGTGTCGACTTACATAAAATTTCGATGAAATGTCGAGTAAAATTCCAAAGAATTCTCGTCGAATTACATGGAATTCCTTGAAATCTTATTGTGGAATTTCAGTGAAATAATATGGAATCTGAAGAATCCCCTTGAAATTAAACAGAATTTTCGTAGAATTCCCATGGAATCACGAGAAATTCCGGCGGAATTCCGAAGAATTTAATTAAATTTTATTGAAATTCTGAGTAATTTTTGTCGAATTAGGTACATAAAATTTTAATGAAATTCCGAAAAATTTCATGAAATCTTATACTGTAACTCCATAGAATCATATGAAATTCGGAAAATTATTTTAAAATCCTATACTAGGAATTTCCTTTTTTCCATTCAAATTTGTCATTTGAATTTAGAATCTGTAAAAACTTTTCAAAAACCCCTAAAATAGTCCAGAATCACCTAAAATTTTGAAAATCTAAAATCTTCTGAACTCCTGTAAAATCGTGTAAAGATTTTCAAAAGCCCCAAAATTCTACAAAATCAATAAAGATCTAAAATATGTGTTCATTATTTTATAGAGTTACTTACGTAACTAAACTTCGGAGCGGTTGATTTGTCAAAATCCCAGAAAAACTCATAAGATCTACTTAAAATCCCTGAAAATTTTTAAAATCTTTAAAAATCTAACAAAATTTTATTAGAACAATAAAAATCCGGCAAAATCCTATAAAATTCCTAATAAAAAAATTCTTTCAACAATTCTAAAAATCCTTTGGGATCCCCAAAAATCTGTTAAAATCTTTAAAAATCTTTTAGGATCTCTAAAAACCCTTCTAACTTCCTTAAAATGCTCCAAAATTATCAAAAATCTTTTAAAATCTTGTAAAATCATGTGAAGATTTTCAAAATTCTCAAAATCCTACAAAATCAATGAAAATTTGAAATCTGTGTACATATTTTAAGGAGTTAACCACCCCTTGACACGTGGTCGACAATTGGCACCAGAAAGGGACAGCTCGGTATTCTAATTTTAAAAAAGAAAATAATTAAGTGCATCTGGGGGTAAGTCCTCAGAATAACATTCAAACCCCTGCTTGCGTTAGTTTAGTTTGTTCCTGTTTTGTCTTTTTCTAACCTGAAATAGTATCATAACATTCATAACCACATGATTGTTGAACCAGTGGAAATATGGACAAAAAAGACAAGTAATATTTCATATATATTTAGAGATTATAAACCATAGGTACATGGTTATTGCTGAATGCAAAAATGGAGATTATATTGGTAATATATTATATCCCATGAGTGTTAGTAGGCTTTTAAGAAATAGAAAAGTAGGAGGGATAGAGAAAACCTACAGAAAAGATAAAAACAGAGTTGAAATTGAATTTACTAATTATCTTAGTGCAAACGAATTTTTAACTAATAAAGTGTTATTAGAGGAAAATCTTGATGCATATATTCCAGTTAGCCTAGTCACTTGCATGTAAACATTGAATCAGTAGTGTTTACATTCCAAGGAAAAGTGATTCCAAGGTCAGTAAACTTAGATTTCTATGATGTAATGATATCAGTCTATATAAGTTCAGTATTAATGTGTTTCAAATATTTAAAATATGGCCATATGGCCAAACAGTGCCGAGGCAAACAAAGATGTCCGATATGTAGGGAAGAGCACGAAGAAAGGAACTATGAACAAAGCATACCTAATTGCTTATACTGCAACATGGAACATAAAACCACTGACAGACAATGCAAGGAGTATTTGAGACAAAAAGCAATTAAAACTACAATGATAATAGAAAACATTTCCTATTTTGAAGCAAAGAATAAACACCCAAAAGAAGATGAAAATATAGGACAGAGAGGGAGCTTGGATCATAGAGACTTTCCAGTTTTGAATCACAAAAGAAGAGCTTCAGAAGCCAGTAGACCAACTGAAATGGATCAGAGATATTTATAAATATCAACCTCTACTACATGTAAGCTGAAAAGAAAAAGATCCCTGTTCACCAGGGTACGACATAGAAATGCACAAAAAATGTCTGATTCCTGCTCCTGCTAGAACGCCTATTCGAAGAAGTACAAGGGAAGGCTCGCCAGTTAGTAGTGCCTACTCGTTCCAGCTTACAAAGTTCCAGAGGTTGTTAAACAACTTATTAGCAAGACAACTTTGTCCAAGGAGGTGAAAGATGTAATTATGGAAGGAATCCAGAATGCAAACCAGGAATCACGATTTAGACAATCAATACCTTTTGGAAGATGATGCACACGCTAATGTAGATGAATTTTATTATAAACAAACCCAACATGAAAATAATCCAATGGAACATTAGGAATGTTTTAGGAAACTTCAGCGATCTGACTATCTTAATAAATAACGAAAACCCGAATGTTTTATTGATTAATGAGCTCAAGGCAGACAAACACACATTGGATAGAGATGATGGAAAAGGAGGTATTGCTATCTTGATCAAAGAAGGCACTAAATGTAGGTAACCTGAATAATAACTTCAA